AAGGAGAAGGAGAAGGAGAAGGAGAAGGAGAAGGAGAAGGAGAAAGGGAAAGAGAAGGAGAAAGAGAAGGAGAAAGAGGGAGAAAGAGAAGGGAAGAAGGGAGAGGGGATAGGTGTTCCCAGCTACGAGCAGGGAGAGGGGTGTGCCTGAGTGTTACATTCAGGAACACCCCAAAAGGGCAGAGAAGGAAGAGGGGAAGGGTAAGGGGAGAAAGGGGGTTAAGGTCCCGACAGACTCCACTGAGCCTTGAACAAGCTTCGGCTGCTGCGGCCACGGACGCCTTGCCAAAATGGCTGGCTGCTCTGACCGCTATGGTCACCTAAAGGCATGCCGGAAACGGCCAGCTTAGAATTCAATAGTTCAGCAAGTCTTGACAAATAACTTTGGCATAAGCTACCTACGCTCGCAGCGAACTGCTCTGTGTCCAAGCGGGGGGTACGTTCGACAAACCCCCGTTCAACGGGTCCACAGGGGCCACTCGTCGGGGTCACCCTGGGCCCTCACGAGGAGAGACACACTTATAGAAATGGTGTACGGACATCGATGCGGCTTGCCACACGCGAACCTGGGTAAAAGGATTGCCCAAGTAAAACGGCAGAGGTAGGTTGGAGGCCATCGCTAGGGGAGCTGGAAGCCATCGCCCAAGTTTGGAGGCCATCGCTAGTAGGTTACGCGCACAAACTGAAAGCGACACCAAGCAACAAGGTTGGAGGTCATCGCTAGTGGGTTGGAGGCCATAGTACCAGGTTAGAGGCCAGCGCTACAAGTTGACAAGACGCAAGCTCAAAAGCAGCATCGCAACAACAAGGTTGGAGGTCATGTCTAGTGTGCTGGAGGCCACTGCACCAGGTTTGAGGCCAGCGCTACTAGTTCACAAGACACAAACTCAAAAATTCAAAAACACGTCCCCCTAGGTGCCAAAGTTTAGAAAAAGGCAGGTACATCGGTGGGCGTCTCCACCGATATCACCAGCACACATCCAGTGTCTTCGTTGGTGCAAGACTGGATGGGCTGCTTGTAGTGATTCCAAGGGTTCCACACACACACACACACATGCAGCCCACGCACACCTCCAGGCAGCAACAAAAACCGACCTGGTATAGCTCTGCAATCTGGGGGTGTTGGAGGCCGGCTTCCACAGCAATCCCAAATCATTCGTTTAAAGAGCTGCCTTGAATTGGGTGTCATGGCTCTGTTTGCCTGATGATATGGTATTTATCACAAGGGGGATAAGGCAAATGACTTGGGAAGGTGTGAGTTCCCATGTATGTTTTCTAGATCCCGTGTCATCTGAAGGTAGTATAATTGAAATATGTCGGGGTCTCAGACTAGGAACCCCACATGGCATGCCCCGCCACATTCCGAAGAACCTGCCAACGACCCACCCACCCCGTGTTTTTCACAAGATCGAACAACCGCCCAGCAGCCTCTGGGGACTGCTCCACAATTTTCCTCCACTTATTCAGAAATTTGACATAGCAAGTGCTATAGTCGTGTTTCTTCCCTGACATGCGATCACTCCCCATGCCTTGGATCGGAATTCGCCAAAGAAAAGCGAAAGCCCAGTGACTCGTGAAAGCCAAAAGAAAAGCCCACTGCATGTACAATCAATAAAAACACCGAAAAGAAAAACTAAATCTCTGAACACAAGCTAAAAACGGAACAAATTCAAAACCATCAGAGCCGAAAAAACAAAAATTGAAGCAACTTCTACAAAGTTTGCAAGATTGAACCACGAACATTAACGAAACGATGAAAGGAACGAGAAAACCTGAAATGTTAAAAGGGCAACACTGTTTCAAACCAAGCATGTTTTCCGAAACCCGCACCCTTCGTTGACCTAGGTTTTTTTACCGAGGGACCTTGCTTTTGACCCGGGAAACCTTTTTCTTGAGTGGGGGACTGTTGCTTTTCATTGCGCACTTTATGCTCAGCAACTCAACACACGATCGTGTTTTGGACAGCGCATTCCCTGACACCTAAGTCATCCTAAGTCTCTCTTGGTCCCGCCATTTCTTTCTCTCTCTCTCTCTCTCTCTCTCAATTGCGTCAATGTGGTGCGGGCTCTCTCTTTCTCTCTCTCTCTCTCTCTCTTTCTGTCCCTCTCTCTCTCTCTCTCTCTCGGCAGCGTCTGGCTACAACGCAGCCGTCCCACAGGGACACGCTGAGGAAGGACGATGCATTGCTGGACCCGCAGTTGGGCAGGGCGCAGCACAGAGTGGTTGAACACAAAATGGTGAACACTGTATAACATTGTCTGTGCCTGAGTAGTCCTGTTATTACACCACTGCTGTAGTTCAACAGTCGTTCACTCTGCTGCGGCCACTTTTGTAGTCTCAAGCTGCAAAGTGGTCCAAGGCCTGGTAGCTGCGGCACACGCAAGGTGTACATACAAGAGACCTTTGTAATAATGATTGTCGACAAATTGTTTTTTCTCTCTCTCTCTCTTTCTCTCTCCCTCCCTCTCCTGCATGTGTGTCTCTGTGTGTCTGCCTCATCATTCAATCAGAGCTTCAAATGGTTGAAGATGAAAGGTTTCAGGGTAAGAAAAGCGGTTTGCAGGGACAAACCGTCTTAGATCAAAAAGCAATGTGATTAATTAGGTCAAAAATACAGGTTCAATAAACACGAGCCTAGGTACAAAAAACAGGCTGGGTCGGACAAATGCCAGCCTAATCGTCAACACCAAGCATTTTGTCAAAAGCAGCAATATATCTTAAAGCTAGACCTAGGCACAGGTGTGCCCATGAGCGCATTTCACGTTCCGCACGATGCCACCACTGAACTGGAGCTCCGCCGCGGCCAGGGCCTTGCGGAAGACTTCCACATCCTCACTCCTTGCACCGGTGGGCAATCAGTTTGTGAGGCCACCCCCCGAAGCCTTGTTTAAACCCCATGGGGGGGTGAACAATAACAACCCTGCAGTTTCTTGTTTCATGTTGTTCCATTGGGTTGAAGTTGCTACCCCGACAACTGGAGGTCTTGACTTTCAATAGTATGGCCCATATGGCTATGGGCCAAAACCTTTGGAGACCACGGTTTTAAAGAACATGCTTTCGTATGGTTTTTAGGGTACATTTTTTGACCCACAACCATGTTGTTGCATTGGATAGTGCCTATTCTAATGTTTGCGCTGGTGATATCTTTGTTCGATGTTCTTTAGTGGTCACAAAAACTGGCTCTCAAGTGCTCTTGTTGTTGCTAAATTGTGTGTGGTTGTCAGGGTTTGAACTGGCTTTGTGTTTTTCAACTTTTGTAATTTTCTGCGGTTTCTGCGTGCCCTTTAATGATTGATTTCCAGCTGTTGGCGTTTTGGTTTGCCTTTCGTGGTTAGGTTTACGGGCTTTTGCGTTGGCTTCACGGGTTTGATCATTTGTTCAGTAGCTCTCCGGTTCAACAAGGCTGTGAAAAATCGCCTCCACCTGCATGCAACTTGTCGTTGTGATAAGAATGTGTTTGGTGACTTTGGTGGCGCTGAAGGCCGTGATTTTTGTTGTGGTAGTGGGTGGTCACAAAAAGGTTTTGGTCTGATGGTGGCCTTGCTGTTAACCCAAAAGTTGAAAATGTTTTTGGCGTTGTCAACTATGCACACAAAAACATTCAAACGCTCTGGTTGGGTCGACCTGGTCTCCTTGCTGGCTCATCACTTCAAAACGATTTTCATCATCAAGGCCTAACCCCCCCAAAAAAAAACATCCTTCAATTCTCCAAGGCTCCATCCGTTGCCAAAGAGATCAAAGTCCTCCTGCAACCTCTTACAGCTCTGTTCTGGTTGCTTGGCCTCTGCCTTCTCTGCCTTCCTCAACGGCTCGAAGGACTTATGGGTTTCCAAAACCAAGGCAGCTGCTCCAGCGTTTGAAACTCCATTTTCAGGGATCTCATTCCTCCCAACCCTGGTTTTCGGCAAAGAAACACTAGAAAACTGCAGGATCGACTATTGACTCCTTCTTGCTATTGTAGGACTAGGTGCGCGCCTACAAAAACCTAAACATTTTCAATCGAAGTAACCCAAATAAGTCAGTTTTTCAAACGTATATAGAACTGCTGCCAGGGGGTTGCAGCACTGCTGACGAGTATGCAGAAATGTGCCTAATGCCCTTACCCTAAGAATTTCTTGCGCTGGTAAAAATGTTTTTCGATGAGTAGGTCCCCAAACAAACACGCACAAACGAGGCAACCTAAGTAAGAGACCAAAGAGCCCTGGAGGCCAACTCGGTTGCCAAATGCTTTACAGAAGCTTTAGTTTCCAAGTTGTGCCTTTATGACAAGAAGCTGCTTTTGCACAGTCTCAACTTCCATATCCTTCGCCGCCGTTTCCGGAGCCTGCGGAGCCGGATTCACCTCCGACTTCTCCAACTTCTCTCGGACCTCCGACATCCTCAAGTCGAGCCACTGCGGGTGTGGGGGCCCTCCGTGAGTAACCCCGTTGAACGGGCCCAACAAAAACCGTCAAAATTGACTACCCGAGGGCAGCAACTATGTCCAGACAGGTGCCATTGGGCTTGAAGCAAGGAAAACACATTCGATGAAAAGGAAAGCCAAGCATCAAGGCGGTCATTTCTTGCAGTTTTTCCATCAATTCCTCCCTTTCAGTCACCAAATGCCACACCACACCACACATAAAGACCAGCGCCAACAGGACAACCATAGCCATCGTCCGCATCTTTGGCAAATCGCTGGTTGCGAGGCGCAATCAATTTGACACATTAAACAAAACATAGGGGGAAAAAAACAAAGGATAAGTAAGAACAATGCATGAGTTATAACTACTGGTTTGGCTCTCGAATCTGGATGCAAAACGCTTGCCCTTGCCCCTAGCATTCATTGAAACAACCCGAGACAGAATGCTTTTCAGTCGGAGTGGTTTTGATGGTATTGCTTTTGAAGTTGCTAGAGGTAATGTATGCGAAAAAATTGTGAGAAATGAAGATAGGTGTGAGAAAAAAAACACAATCCTTTTATCTTTATCAATGAATGAATCAACTTTGTATAATCAGGCTCGGAAGTGATTCATTGATACCCATTGGTTTGCAGCTGCGCTTCCAATTCCAATGAACTTGAGAGGAGGAAGACACGAAAGGTAGGACAGCGGGAAGAGAAGAGAACGCGAGAGGCAGGAACAAAAATGCAATGTTCGACATGGTGATTTATCCCCTCGGAGGCGACCGTTCGTAAATATATGTTCATATGCACTCTAAATGTTCAAACATATGCTCTCGAAATGTTCAAAGGTTCTTAGGAAAACAAACTTGCCCCATGGCTCAGATCATCGGTGAGCATTGACTCGGAACATCATAGGATTTGAACTATCCTGAAACCATAAGAGGCTCACGAAGACGCTCCCCGGGAGAGAATTGACGTGCTTCACAAAACAAACTCTAGGTATGTATCCCCTCGGGGAACACCTTTCGTGATTAGAATTTCATATTCACTCTTTCTAAATGTTCAGGAGGGTTTCAACTATCCTGAAATCATGAGAGGCTCACGAAGACGTTCTCCAGGAGAGAATTGATTTTAGAGGGGGGGAGGGGGAGAGGGGGTGGTCTGTATTGAAAAATAAATTCCAAGGGGGCGGGGGGGGGGGGCGTCTGAATTGAGCGATCAATTATTAGACCCGGACGTCCCAACACTTGCTTCGCAAGACAAACTCAAGGTATCCCCTAAAGGGCTACCTTTCGTGAATTGTCAGGGCGGATGGGCGAGTCCTTTTGGGAGCACTGAGGATTTCCTCTCTCCTGACCACTCAGGTGTCTGCAGTCGTCATCCACAATTGCTTGTTTCTGATCTAGGTTAGGAATGTTTTGTTGTTATTCTTCGTTCGACCGTCAAGTGTTTGGATTGCAGATACCTACACTTGTAGGTATGTACACACGACAAGTTTCACATGTTGAAACACTATTCGGTACATTTTGTGAATGATGGCAGTCAAACAGTAGTGTCTTTGGAATGTTGTGCGCCATACCCCATTTACAATGTTTAGGTGACTCCGATGTCTTCAGTTGCTGTCAGCTGTCGCAGGTTCTGGGTCCTGTGGTGGGGTATTGGCCTGCTGCTCTCACTATCCCCAGGTGGCTCTAAGAGACTGTCGTCCGAAAAGGACAAGCTGTGACCTCTTTCCTTAAGCCCTGCTATGTTTGCGCTTGTCACAGGTGGAGTGTCGTTGACATCATCCCTTGCACCCTGGGTTGCTGTTCCCGTCCGTTCCAAAGCCGTCCGTCTTCGTACTCCCGTGTGCCCAGTGAATCCCGTGTGCCCAGTGGATTAGCTGGAGCAAAACCTAGAACGGCTTTGGACTAGGGTAAGTCGCACCAACGATAGGGTGGACCGACTCTACAACCACCGCAAGGTTTTCTCAATCCATGCCACATCCCTCGAAGCGGCATGGGTGGCTCTGGGCGGGGAAGCCAACGGGGCGCGGCTGGCTCAAACAGGTGGGGAAGGTTGGGTGTGGCAGGTGGTGGGGGCGCTGGGGGTGCCATGGCCGTTGACTTTGGATCAACCAGCCCGCGAGGCGCAGATCCAGCGA